AATATTACATGTTAATAACTTGATTGGAATTATAACCTTGAATTGACAGTTTGATACTTTGAAAATTTTGAGCCAGCCCTACCCCCAAGGGCTGTAGGGTGGGGCTCAAAGGAGTCAGTGTGCTAAAATTTCTTCATTTTCCTTGTTAAGAATCAGAGGTGCTAGTTTCAAATCCTTTTTAGTCTGAAATCTGTATGCTAGATATTGAGTAAGGTGGTTTTATTGTTTTTTGTCACTTTGAATAATATTTCTGTTCATGTTAAAAACAAAATCAACTCTCTGTATAAATATATCAGGTGACCGTTAGGCCCATGGGCCTCTTGTTTAACTTTAAGACTGATGAACAAAAAAATGTCCTTGCTCTAGATCTTTATCTGATATTTTTCCTTTTGAGGATGTTTGTCATTGTAGCCCCAAAGGCTTAAAATACTTTTATAAATTGTTTTGGGGGATTTCGAGAAGAAGAATATTAGTTAATCAATATTAGACTGGGGAACATTTAACATCTTGAATGATTTATCACAGAATTTAAATTTGTTAATTAACTATTTTACTAATTCTAGTACCAACATGGGAACAGTTTTGGACTGTTTAAGGTAAACGTGAATGCATCCAGTTGTGACACCAGTTGGATTGGAGTTATTTATGAGATAGTTATGTTTGGCTAAAACTTGCCAGTACTTCATTCTAGATCCTACAGGTTGCACCCGGAAATATTTGTATTCCTGTTGAGAAATCTAAAACTATTTTTTAATGGTCTTTCATCAGTGTATAACTTGGAAAGGTGTATTTTATGATTCTGTTTATTGATTCTTAGTCTGGGTAACAAAAAAATCCCTTCTATTTATTTTTGTTAATGGTTCCAGTTTTCTTCAAGCATGATCTTAAAAATGTTTTTGAAATATTGTTTGAATTGCATGAAATTTATCAATGATTACAGTGCATTGAAAAATTGCTGGTGTTTTGTTTTTGCAGTTTGAAATGACATTGATTAAATCAACAAATACTGGTATCTTTGAAATATATGTGGCATCACTAATTTTCTCATAGATGTCTAGGAAAATGGTGTACGAAGTGGTTAAGGGGAGATAATCTCCTCTGTGTTTACAAATATGAAACCTTTTCGGAATCAGTCACTCTTAAAAAATTAAGGGTAACTATACCTCTTCTCCCTGTTGTCTTTTAAAGATATTTCTTGTTCAGGTACTTTGCATTTTTTCTTTATCACTGAAACCCGTCTTAATTATAAAAATTAATACAAGAGTGGAAATTAGCAGGTGCAGTGTAACCTGTTGCGAGTGTTTTCATCAATTTGGTTAATTTATTTTAGTCAGATTTTGATTTATGCTTAAAGAAGTACATACTATTGAATCAGCAACCAAGACAGTGCATTCTCCTGGACAATCTGTAGCAGCTACATAGAATTTCATTTTAAGACATTATATCATTTTTACTCTGTATTGATAATGAAGTTCAAGTCTTCCTAGTCTCAAAGTCCTCTAACTTCTGATCATACATTACAGGGAGACACAATTTATGGCTTCACAGTAGTTGATAATTTAATCCAATGGTACCGAATAGTGTGTAAAAACCTGGTTAGATGTTCTAGATTTGGATTAGAAATACACTTCATAGAGTTTGAGAAATAAGAGCCCTGTCATTCTGTACATGCGTTGTTAACCAATGAAACGGCTACCTGTGTAGTCCAGATGGTGATCTATTTGTTTTTCTTCTACATTTGACTTGTAAATGCTTTTTTCTTTACATTGTTTCTGATAATTAATTAATGGATTTATAACAATTACAGGGATTTGAGACTTTTCCCTAAATGCTTCATGTGTAGTAGTTATGAGATATTCCCAGTTGTGTACTTATCCTGTACATATTGCCCATCCTCACTCAGACTTATTACTGCCTAATAGAACACAACTATTTTAACCACTGGCTATGTAGTGCATTATTTTTTATATCATAGTTTTATATACTATATAATGCAGGTACATCGCATAAATGTGTTTTATCAATTAGAGCAGTCTTTGAAACTTGAACTTGTAAAAAGATGTACAGGTACACAAAAAAATGTTGTTAGAATTTTAAATTATGAAGTTTTCCAGGAACCAGTTTATGTATTGTTTATGAAAGCATGTTGAAGTGTTCATGTCTTTTAACCAAAGTCATTTTTCAGGAAGTCATGTTCACCACCTTACATTGGAAGTAGATATAGTACTAGGATCAAAGTCCAGTTTATTTCTATATATAATTACATGTGTTATTGTATTGTTTCCAGGGATCTCTCAAGGTGAAATCGTGTTCTTTTATTATCTAACTAGAACTGCATTCCTTTTTTCCTGAGTTTTCCTTAAACAGTATTTTTCACACAATATTTTTCACACATAGTTTTTTTTATTTATTCCAACTAATAACTCAAATATATTTACACCACCTTCTGCAATGTAGAGGTCAGAATGAGGAAGTTAGATATTCAGGGTTAGATACTATTAGTCTTGATCTAGTTACTTTATCTTTACATCTTTTGATCTGAACATTTTCTAAAAAGGTTAACTAAAGATGTTAATGCAGTTATTGTAATATCAATAAAACCTTGTTATACTGCCACAATTAGTTCAGAAAAAAGTTTGGCAATATAAAGTGGTTGGCAATAAATTAGGGAGACTATTAAAAGAATTGTTAAGGAAAAAAATTGTGACCTTGAAATGTGCAGTAGCAAATGAAATATGAAAATTAGCATTATATCTACATTTTTAGAGTATTTTTAAGATTTTAAAAATATAGATTCACAAAATTATTCTTCGCTGCATATTGTGTAGATTTAAGTTTAATCAAGTTTAACTGAAATTAAATATTGTTAAAGTATATATTTTTCAATAAAACATACCTGGGTAAGTATGGATTTTAAAAGATTTTTAGAAACCCACCATTCACAAGTGTGTATTTTTATCTGATGTTTTTATGAGAAATATTTTAATTAGCAAGCTACCACCACGCTAATATGATTGGTTTGCCGGAGGTGTTACATATGCTGTGTTGCCAGTGAAAACCTATTTACACGAATGCTGTGCTGGTGATTTTTATGATATATACGGTATCTGGAACATGGGTACTATTGCTGTAGTTCACAAACTTCTGCAAACTTGGGTCGCAGAATTTCCTTCTTTATACAGAATTGTTTAAACACAACTCACTAAATTGAACCTGTTTCTCTGTTGAATTCCCTGTTTCACAACATCTTGAGAATCTTTCTTGACTTTAAACTATCGACCAGTCTTAAATTTGAACAAAAAATCCTCTTAATCAGGAAAGTAGTGTTCTTTAGTTTGTTTCAAACTTAGAAAGCCTCAATTTCAGTAGTATATACAGTTTGTGAATTCTCAGAGTGTCAATTGATACGGTTTCACTGTACATATCATATAGCTAGCCTTATATCATATCAGTCCTAATGAACACTGTTTTGATCTATTGCAGTAAGTGTTTTGATTTCCATGGAAAGTACATTTTTGTTGTGTCAGAAGTGAAATTTAAATTGATTTGCAACTGATAAGCTGAACTTGTTGAAAAATGTTTTTGTACAGTTGTAATTTATGACTATGTAAATGTATTATTCTACCATGTGTATGTTCAACAGTATAGAGAAAGCCCTGGCTATGAATGTCTGATGATACATGAATGACAAGCGTTACCTTACTTTTTATAACAAAATGAAGATGACAATGATGAGCCCCTAAAAATGCTAGGCTATTGATTTGTTTGGAAAGATCATCATTGAACTATTCCGTCTTTGCATATTACAGAGTTATCTTCTCTTGGGAGCAGGTATTGATTGTTTCGACACTTGTTTGTGAGAGTAACTTCATCAATTTTTGAGAAAACGACGTAATTTTCTCACACAAACCAATGACGTAACAATCAATACCTGTTCCCAAGAGAAGATAACTCTGCAATACGCAAAGACAGAACAGTTCAATGACAGGCTCATGTATGTGTATGCAACTGCCCATAGCTCATGTCTTACAACAGTTAAAGTGATAACATTTTATCACTGTACTTCCAGTAGGTCAGTTATCGTTTGTTTATTATGATAATGATTATATGATTTTTTTTTTTCTCAAATTATATGCATGTTATGTTTAGGTAATGAATTGTGTCATAAGTATAAAAACAAACATATCTGTTTCTAGAATTATGCTACTCTATACAGAATGTGAACTATTCAATCTTACTGGAAAGTGTTAATGGTTGTAAAAATTCTATGTAATTTCCCTTACGCTTTATAGAGATGTATGATAGAAATATCCCATGACAGACGTTGATGTAGAATGAATCGAGAATCGAAAATTTCCTCCAAAGGATTCAGGGGCCGCGGTGGCCAAGTGGTTAAGGCGTCTGACATTCTGCTACCACTAGCCCTCCACTGCTGGGTTGTGGGTTTGAGACCTACGTGGGGCAGTCGCCTGAGGTATTAGCCGTAGGTTGGTGGGTTCTCTCCCGGACTCAGGCTTTCCTCCACCACCAAAACCTGCAACATCCTTAAATGACCATAGCTGTTAATAGAACATAAAACACAAACAAAATAAATCCAAAGGATTCAGACCACAAATTCTCCACCAGAGATCAAGGATAGAATAGAATTTCCATATCCCCAATACCTGTACACTACAGGGAACCCTCTATATCCCAATGACAGGGGGATAATTCTCACATGGATTTCATAGGAGGGAATATTTTGAATATGGTTTTCATATTTGTAAGATTGTATTTATAGATCTAGAAAAACCTCATTATCAGTAATAATGCTGTAAGAGAGTTAAAGTCTACCTTCAGACATTTATCACTGATCTACTAAAGTATGTATACATATACATGTACTAGGATAGAGGGACATGTATCTTATGTGTAATTTATGCTGTATGACTCTGTCAGAATTCACTGTAGTTCATCTGTTATTCGTTGATAAATAGACTGGCATGCTATTCCGTATAGGTATTCAACTATCTAGCTGATAGCCACTACATACCCACCTACTCAAAAACCTTATATGCAGGTGTAGAGGATAGGATGGATCACTACATACCCACCTACTCAAAAACCTTATATGCAGGTGTAGAGGATAGGATAGATCTAGATCTGCCACTGCCCTGATAGCAAGCTTACATTGGATGACATCAGTATGAAGGAAATGTTAAGAAGAATCAGATTCTTTAATTATGTAAAACATAAACATTATCAAGTTATTTTTCTGCAAATGTTTATATATGTGTGGTATATATAATTCAGTGGCTTTTAGCAGTGTGTTGTACAATTTTATGGTAAATTTAGTAATTTAAATTAAAAAAAATGTGTTAACTTATAAATGACAACATGAATGTCAACTGATATAAACTGTGTATTACAGGACTATTATGCACTATGAAGTGATTCCATATGAATGAAATTAATAGGCTATACATGCTGTAGATTATTCATGCTAATAATCACCAATTTGTTTTACTTGTAGCGTGGGAAGAAGCAGATGGCTGAGCCAAGTTCATACTGCATCGTTAGTGTAGGTCAGATGAAAGAGGAGAGTGCGGTCAAATTGAACACAGACAGCCCTATCTGGGAGGAGAACTATCGCTACCTTGTCCACGACCCTAACATCCAAGTCATAGACATACAGGTAAAATAACAACCAAGATTTAGAAGATTACCTCCCCTTATTAAACTGCTACCCACTGACTTGCACTATCTACTAAGCTTGGAAGTATTGTATAGGACAGAGAAGACTGAAATCTGTTCAGTGTCCTATGGCTTAAAACAAGGTACATCAGATTTGAATAGGTTTTGACAGAACATGCAATTTGTAGGAATTCAGTTTTGTTATGAATGCTAGCTTGAAATGACAATGTTGTGAAGTGCCAGCATGTTTCAAGTTGTAGTTGTGATTTTCAAGCTAATGCCTAAAATGATATTTCCTAGGATTATACATTGAGGTCATCGAGCAGATATCATTTTTTAAACATGCTAAAACTATGGCAAAGGGAAGTAACTTGGTAGTGTTCGTATTGTATAAGATCTATGTTTTTTTCAGAAATTATTTCTTACATGATAATATTTGGAATAGTTTAAATATGTTTCAAAAATGAATATTTGATAAGAAAATTTACTTAAAATTATTTCAGGTCATGGACAAGAAAACCGGTAAACCCCTTGGTGACATGAACTTGCCCCTCAAGTCTGTTCTCCGGGCTCCTGATATGACACTCGACCAATACTTTAGTCTCAAGAACTCTGGGCCAAGCAGCCAGGTCCACATGAGGCTTGCACTGAGGGTAAGGTCATAGGTCATGGATTAAGGTTTCCTCATTGCATGTGCCCTACCACACACGGAAACTGAGGTGTTCGACTCAAAATGGGAAATTTAAAAAAAAAAATCTTCAAGAGATAAGAATATGCAATTTGTAGTATCCTCATCAAATCCCTTTGATCTTAAATTGGGCCACAAGAAGAGTTCAAAGTTTCCCTAGGGTTCTATAGCATGGAATGCCTTGTTTTTAAGATGAGCTCAAAGAAAAAAAAATTCTAAAATTTAAAGCATAATTTGTTAAACATGTCCTGCTTGAGTTGATACAGTATAATTCATACTTAAACACATTTTGTATATTATATTATGATGATATTGTAGGCCCTAACAACAGAGAAGTCAAAAGAATCTACAGAACCTGAGCAGATCATTACACCAAGTAAAGCAACAAAGGACGGAACCTCTGTAGATGGCGCTACTGCTGCAGCTGCCCCAGCAGCCTCAACCCAAGCAGCTGCCCCCAAGGACCAGAAGGCTGCTCCCGCTAAAGCAACCACTCCTACTGCTGCCAAAGACACGGGTAAACAGATTGTTGCTGAGACTGTTTCGTCAGTCCAGTCCATCCCTCCAGCTAAGACAGGCACACCTCAACAGAAGACAGACACAGAACTGAGACACAGGAAGGCTACTTCGCCTACTCCTGCAGCGTAAGTCATGGTCACCAGACATATTACCATACACGGTTCACTCATCAATCAGTGTGTGACTGGTTGTGGTTAGATTGCATCTGTGTATTTCTGTATGAAAAATGCATTTTAAATTCAGATTTAATTTTATACCATTTCTGCTGCATTAGATTATTGTCATTTCTTACATTGAACAATGAAAATAATCAAAATATGCCATAAAATAGATGATTTTGAAAAATTGAAACAATTAAAAACAAATCCCCTTTTTTTAGAAAGTTTTTAATCTTTATATGTCATTTTGGGGAAAAAAATACTGTTTGAAATTGGTTTAATTATTATGAGTCATATGTTTGCAAATTCACTGGTGTAAATCTTGTATAGAAATAACAGATGTCTACATTTGTTGACAGGTTAAGGTCTAGTCTATACCGAAGGTAAAACATTAAGCACCTACATGTACCTATGTGTTGCACTCGCATCTGTCCGATTCCCTCAGTTTTCTGTTCAGCAGAAATCAATAATTGATTATTAGTTAATTACTGAAAGGTTTCTCTAAGTTGTAAATCACTTGTAACATGAAAAACCTCACCAACTTGGTATATCACATATGCATGACTATATTTTTTTCAATTTGAATGAGATTTCTAAAAATGTGTCACCAATGAGTAAGCTTTGTGATGCAGAATCAGTTTGAACAGATCATTCATTTGGATCAAAATGCTTGAAATTCAGTAAAAGTGTGAAAATAAATGAAACACCCTAGGGACCAATCTGTGCTTTTAAGAATTCACCATTCTTTATGATTAAGAGAATCTTTGAGCATTTCTAATGCAGATTTTCACCACATAAAATTCAGAATTTTTAAAACATGTACAATTAGACATGAAATCAATCTTTCCTGACTGTATATGACTTTACCTTTTTCAGTTAAGTGATTTTTACAAAAGTTTTAAATGCATAGAATATGAACATTAACAAAACCAGGAAAATGTTCAGTTTGTGTCATTTAAATGGGCAAATTTTCCAGCTCTGATTGGGATTTTAAAAGATTATTGGGAGAATTTTTCTCCAGGGGAAATTAACCCAGAAATGATCACAAATTTGGTTTAGATTGGTCCCTGTATATGATAAAGCATCTCTGTTGAGTGACATTAATTGTGATTTACACTTACGAGTAAGTAGACCAATCATGTAGAGTAGTTTTTCCTGAATTACTAGGATACACAGAAAAATACAGATATAATCAGTCGATCAATACAACAGTATTGTTGAGATGGGTAGTTCTTACAAATAGACCTTTCAACTTTTATTAGTAGTGTCTTTCTCTAGGTGACAAAACCAGAAAGTATATCTAGCATGCAAGAACTTCACAATTGAAATCTAATTAGCTGTAAATGATTGTTTTACATTGCCAAATCATAAAAGAATTGGTTCTAAAAAGGTTGTGGGCTTTCATTTGCTGCACATTTCTTACTGGGCCTTTCCACGCCAGTGAATCCCAGTTACTTCTGCATTCCTAACAGGAGCTGAATCGGTCAACTGTAGGAAATTGCCCGACAGCAGAGCTAGAAACTTTTGTACCCAGCAACTCAAGGCATCACAGCACTCACATGCAATCACTTTCAGTTAGATTGTATTACCCTTAAGTCCTGAACCGGTCCAAGGCAGTTGGTCCCAACTGCTGGTTTATGTGCAGTAAATGAGAGTGCCCCTTCTATTGAAACCAAAACATGAAATATTAGTTTTATTAATTGAATTTGGTTCTAAAATTGTCTATAATACTAAAGACAAACTGTATTTTTTAACCCAAACTCATTTAAGTTGCGTATTTTTGGCCTAAAATAAATACTTGAAAATGTTTTTAATGTTCTAATGGTTTGTCCAGTGTATTTAATACTTATTCATTCTGCTTGTTGTTAGTTTACTTACCATAACTAATGATAGATTTTTTATCATATTTTTTTTCCCCACCAAATGTTTAGTTTTCATTGTTGATTCTAAAATATAAGGAAAAAAAATCATGTTTTGTTACAGATGTTTTATATAATCAAATAAGATTGTATGCAGTTAAAAAGAAAACCTTTCTGGAAAAAGCTAACAAAGCACATTAAAGGTTTCTGTAATATTATCGGTCTTGTAGAGCTCTCAATATCAGTGATCATGTTGTAACGTACCATTGTTGTATTTCTTTTTTTTCTGTTTCCGTGCCACAACTAAGAAGACTGATAAAAACTTCATCAGTTGACACAGGCAAAACTTGGTCGACATTACATAGGAATAATGATGGTTTACTGTGGATTATATGAAACCATCCATCTGAGCAATATTCCTATCGATTGGTTCAAAATAGATATTTGTGTGGTAAATTCAATGTGCTATTACATCTGAGTCATAGAATCATAATTCTTGTATAAACTTTCACAGTTTATATGATATTAAACTCTATGATATTCACAATGAAATTTAGCTTTTATCAAGAAATAAGTTTTAAATGTTGAATGATCTTATAATGTACCGGAATAGCCAAAAACATTAAGAAACATACCTGAATATAAAACTTTCGGGAATGTACATAATATGCACAGGAATCTTCATTACAGTGAAACCTTGACATGACACACCTCACTTAATTCATTCACCCCTGAAATTCTCATAAAGAACTATTCCAGCTTTTGAATTGGAAGATTTCAAATGTGGCTTCAGGGGTAAATGAGTAATGCACACATACTTCAAGGTCCTCTTTAGTCAGCATGTGTCTCCCTAGATACATCACCAAACCCCTTTATAATGCCGAAAAATTCTCTATGGCAGGTTAACATTTTTTTTGAATATTGTAGTAACAAAGGCATCTGTAACAAACATGAATTTGTGATATTACCTTTCAGATGGGTGTCAGATATAAAACTTGTATGATCTATTTAACCAACATAGCTTAATATTTTCACTTTTCTGATTTCCTGTGTTTTGGCATGGATCCAGTGAAAGTTGTCAACATTGATAATCTTTGAGACCAAAGGGCATGAAGCATTTGTAAGTTATGAATAAATACAGTTGTTCTTGATATCTCAGACCTAACCCAAAGGGAGCACACGATCATGGTAGAATGAACCTGACCATCAGGTATAGCGTTCAGAGGAGCCAGTTGGTGGTGGTCATCCACAAATGTGTGTAAGTATTCCAGAGTTGTTTCCCTTCTTACATTTACTGGTAAGTGGGACACATGTGTCATAATCAGTACATGTTTTGGTATCCAGGCCTGCTTTAAAAAAGAACATTTAATGCCAGGGTAAAAAAATATCATATGTTTATGTGTACTATTATTGAATGTATCAATATTATTAATTTTCCAATATGAAAAAATGTTTGGTCATAGTTGATGTTAATTAAAAGAATTTTGCTGGAAAAATATGAGTGAATCTGGTATCATCATTGAATTTATAATTCTAATGCAGCTGTAGTAGTGCAAAGACCATTTTACATATAGGCCCCAGTCAGAATAATTTAAAACTCTCATGAAATTTTGAACTAATGAGAAAATCAATCACATGTTACTGAGTGAGATCAGACTATGATAGGTGAGGGCTAAAATTCTGCAACATATCCTGACTGAGGTGCAAGCCTACGTTGGGATGCTACAGAATCTGAAACCTTAGCTGAGATAACTTGATCTGGCTCAGAGGTAGGCTATTTAATTGTATCATTCAAAACATTCCTTTGTAGACACTTGATCGCCTGCGATGATGACCATTTAGCCGACCCTTACGTGAAGATGTACCTTCTCCCAGACAAATCTGCAAAACACAAGACCAAGACCGTCAAAGATAGCCTCAACCCAGTCTTTGATGAAACGTATGTACACATAGTATATTGACTAATGATAAATAATAATAAAGGAACATAAAATACTAGAATTTTACTTTCAATGAAACTTTTCAAATGTTGTGTCCATACTTTTATAACATCTATTATCCCTATGGGTCAGGTAAAAACTAGGTTTAAGGCCAAAAGGGCACAGAGTCAAGGTCACCATTGCTAAAAATAGAATTTTGCATGGTTTTGCTTGTAGGGATGATCACACCAATTTTAAAGTTGGTGGGATGCAAAGGACAACATTGATCTATTTTCCACTCCATGAGTATTGACTTAAGAACCCCCTCTCAAATACAAATTACATGTATTTATATATTCACACATTAAAANGGGGGGGGATTAGCTGCCCAGGGCAGCTCTCATTCTCATATTTATATTTACGTCTTATTGATTGTCAACATTTAGTTGTTTCTTCACTTTCGTTCATGGTTCAAATAGCTGAACATGTTCTAAAGTTTTAGAGGAATTTTTCATTGTGTACCTATCACTGGAAAATTACCTTAAGATAGATAACAAAGCAAGATGTAGTGCTTATTCAAACCTTAGTGTTTGTCTCGCTGCCAAGAGGTGGAAGCGAGACTAAGGTGTTGATTTTCCAGCGACGGCAGTGTCAACATTAAGTTTTTGCGTTTAAGTTAGTTTTACTGAAAGATACATCTTAGGTAGTACATCTCAACCCATGCCTCCAATGCTGGATGCTGCCTACCTTTCATGGTCCATCGACTTTGTCAACATCTCCAGCAACATTAAGCTTTTGCGTTTAAGTTAGTTTTTGTGATACGTGCATTGATGGTCTAAGTGGGGCATAGGCGAGACATATCATTCTGAACGGCTTATTAAATGATAGATTTCATAGGCAAGACATATCAATCTGAATGGCTTATTGAATGACAGATTTCATAGGTAGCAGTGTACAGTAGCGTACGGTGGCCATGGGTGATATTTTTGTACAATGAATAACCCCTGTAATATTACATGTATCAATTTTGTTTTAAATCAGCGCTAAAATTGGCATAAACATGATCAAGTGGACTATGCGGGCTTTTCATTTAAAAACAAAAAATAAATTNTTTTGTACAATGAATAACCCCTGTAATATTACATGTATCAAAATATTTTNCATTTTTGTCCATTTACAAATCTGTGTCTACGCAACAAAAGCTAGCTTTTCATGTAGTCTATTTTTGTACTCGGCACATGTGTAAATATTGTGAAAAATCCACCGGTATGACCTATGCTAAAACGTTAGTATTTCTGTTACCGAGTAGGCTGTATTTGATTTAAGACAGGTTTTAAGAAAAAAATACTTGCGTGGGTCAAATTTTGTGTTAAAAATGATTTTTTTTTGCAATTTTTGGCTTTTTTTGATGTGGTAACCATGGTTTTCACAAGTCCCAACTGGGGAAATCACTTTTTGAAATAACAATCATTCTTTTAAAAAGAATGTATTCAAACTGTAGTTTATAAATATATATATATAATAGGTGTGTATCCACAATCCATGTTTATCTGAGACATGCCCTTTATTTCAAGGATCAAGCCATTTCTACTGTACTCTGCTACCATAATGTTTTTCTCATGATCAGCAAATGTTGCTTGGAAAGATTTCATTATATTTCTTTTGTTTTAGATTCGAGTTTGAAGTTAAACAAGATGAGGTCAAACAGAAAACATTGGACATTACAGTACGAAATGACACATCAATGTTCTCTGGGAACAAAAAGACGATGGGAACACTCGAGATATCCCTTGCCAATCTGGATCTGACTAAGTTTACAACAGAGTGGTAAGTGTTAAGGCAGTATGTGTTATAGGTTCTTTTAGACAGACAGTTTTTCATGAAAGTTTGTAAAAAGGTCAAGTGCATCAAGGTCAGCGCTATAGATTTAAAGGATGGGAAGTTGAGCATTTTTTCTGTTATAATGTTATAGGGAGATGCATGCTCCTGTTTCATTCGTCAGTTAATTTTAGCAACCAATGAAATCTGTGGTGTCTTAAATCCTCAGGTCCCTGTGATTCCCACCAAATAATTGAGAAACTGCTCTCTAGTAACTCTTATGGTATAAAAAGTATGAAGTTGTATAGTATAAACAGGAAGAATTAATCACAACATGCTCAAGTGTCACCAGTAAGTTGGTACTTATATTTATTGGCCGACTAGTTTCGCCTCTTAGTGTGGTCCTGATGTTGTATAGTAGTAACTAATACTGTATATCAATGTATAATGAAGAAAGGCACTGTTAAAGTATTCAAAGAGTTCCTCTTCTTCTTTTAGGTTTGATGTTAGACCTGAAGACTTTGAGGGCAAGCCTTACTCACTGTGCTCCGATGTTTAAACAGTCATCCTGTGAAACACTGTCCATTGAGAATCTAATATATAGCCCAGGATCCAAGACATTTGTCGTTTAATAACAATTTTATATGTAACTTGCCTTTTATTACACAAATCCTGTCACTTTTGTGTTTACATTGCCTATTATTTTTGATGTTGTCTTTGGATATGAATTCGCAAAGCAATAAATTCACTATAACAATTCATGCAAATGTTGAATCCATCCGTTGCAATTATTTTTTGAAGAGGATGTGATAGCAACTGCTTAAAAAATTGAGATATATTGTTGGAATTTTAAATGTTTGAGATATATTATTGGGGTTTAAAACAGGCTATTTGTTGTTTAAATAAGAGAACAAATCTTTTTATTTTGTATCCCCAAGCTTAAAAATCATTTAATGGAGATAGCAAAAGAAGGAATATATACCAGATAACAAATAACTATTAATCTTTGATTGTGAATATTTATATCTTTAATAATACCATACATGTACATTATGCTACAATGTATGTAAAGAACTAATTAGCTTTAAAATATTATCTGTTTTGAAACAATCTTATTATTTGTAAAGTGCAACGATTGCAGGATGTGATATTTTTTATCACTTTAATATATTTGACATTTCGTTTTATAAAGGGAAAGAAAAGCTGCATGAAATGCGTTGCTTGCTGGTATATTTTTTAAAACAAAGAATTTACCTTCCATCATAGATGGTATATTAATGAAATTACAAGTTATATGTGATTATATGGACAATGTTCCTCACGAAATACGGACTAATAGGAAGATATCTAGTGTCTGGTCTCAGTACAGACTGTCTCTCATATAAATGACCACATATCCTCGTGATTAACAGCTTTTGTCTGTAGAAGATACTTAAATAATTTAATTTATTAACTTGGAAGCCATACGAATGTTTAAGAAAAAATGCTTACCTATTCTCAATTTTAAAAAAAATACTTTATTCTCTAAAATGTTTTTTGTCTGTGTCCGTGCACTTAGGTCTTGATGGCTTTTGTGTGTCTGTCAGTTTACACTGTTACAAGTCCATAGCACATATCAGAAACTACTGTGTATATAATAGCACATGTCACTCAGAACATCATGTTGTATATTATGTTGGGGATCGTACACAGGATATTTGTTATTATATTACCACACATCTATATATACATGTATTTACGTAGAAGTAGACTTCTATTAACAGGTGTATGTCATACAACAGCAAGTTCTGACTAATATTGAAGCTTGCGAAATACTACTTTTTATCCAATGTTTTTACACAAAGGACCTGGATGCTTTCTTTAACGTCAGAACGGGCGATAAAATCGAATATTTCTAAAATCTCTTTCTTTGTTGGTGAACGATAAACTTTATTTTCATTAACATTTAAAATGTTTGGGTACAATATTAATGTTTTGTGTATTGAAGTTTTGACGAACTACATTTCAGCAATGGCCTTAAAAATCTTCCACCTTTCGGTGGACAATGTGATATACAAACTGTAATGCCTTTTTGTTGCACAGCAAGTCCTCCTTGTTTCTTATTATAAAATCTACACATATCAGAATGTGCTGAATATGCTTAATGTCCATTGTTAAAGATATTCTAATTGGAGCAAAGGAATTATTTTGAAAGATATTTTTTGCATATTTGATTTGCCATCAACGAAAATATGTTTAGTGCTATTCCTGGAGAATTGAAAGTGTATTTTTCTATGCTGAGATTATTAAAGTGTATCTTTGTTAATATTTGGGTTATTTTATCAACATGTGGGATTGTGATCATTAATATAATTGCATGCTAAAAATAAACATTGCTTCAGGAATTCTTCTTTTAATGTAACTTTAGAGTGTACAGGTTTTTTTCATGCATGAAAAAATATTTTATGATGGTAATAAGTTGAGCTTCAGTGTGTTTTGTTTTGTTGAACAAATTAGAATGCAAGAAATCGATTGCAGTATAATATTGACCTTACTCTATCTAAATACTCATTCTTTAGATTTGATATTTCTTTGTTTTTCAAAAGTCGCTATGAAAAGTCCACTAATTCAGAGCACGGATAGATACATGTACATTTCTTTGTATAATTTGTTATTGGTTCTAGTTTGCATTAAATTTTAAGTTCAGCTTTCATAAATTACCTTTGTATTGGGACGATAATTTTATTGTACCCATATTTCCCTCTTGTTTCCCGGTAGAAATAACTAATGTGCTTTGACTAGGAAAACTATTGGTTGTTTATAGATCAAATATTTTTATTGTTATGGATGTTAACTGTTTTCACATTTCTATTTTTATTTTGTTTTGATATCAATTTTTGTTGTTTCTTTTATTGTACACATGAACCTGGAATATTACAAACTGTTTGGGACCTATTACAATGTTTGGATGTCTAATGGTAGCTGAGGTTTTTGTTCTGCCCCGACATAACTTTCTTGTGATTTAAACATGCTTCTGATTATCCCATCATTATGTTAATTGTTACATCACAATAAACATTTCAGTTCTAATTCATACAATGGATTGTTTCTACAATCCATGCTGGTTATTTTTTAAATTCTTTGATATTATTCAGTGTTCTGGTTTTTAGTGCTTTGTAAGGGATATCAGGTCATATAGCCAAATATAGTATATATCTTATTGCTTATGGAACGGTCACTTAATTCATCTGGCCGTTACATTGTATTACAGTGTATACATTTATAAATTGTAGTTGATTGATAGATATAAGAAATCTCATTATATATAATAATTGTTTTGCTTTTGTAGTTTGTAGGTCATATAATATATGTGTTGAGTTCTATGTTGGTATAGTATATGAGTTTATTGGTAATTTTGTTTTGACAATATAATAATATGTGTATATGGTTAGTGCAATTTTAAAAAAAAGTTTTCACATGTACAACTGTACAACATACTCACATTATTGACCTATTGAACTTAACTCATTAATAAAAAAAACAATGAAAATAGTATAAAGCATATTTTAATGATACGAAATTTTCATTCAAAAATTTAAAAAAGATATTTAAAACAATCATCTAAAAATCTTTGAGTATGATAGACTATTTCACCAACAGAAAAAAAAAATGAAAAATACCTTTTCAAGTAATATACCATTTGAATTTGAACATGAATGTATTTTTTCACTATAACTTTCTGCCTATTTTGTATATAAGGGATCTTGCTGTTTTACTCCCCCTGGATTGTTACTGTTACCTATCATTACCTGCTGCTGCGATACATCTACACTAATCTGTGACGTCACTATAAATTTTATATATATATTAATATCTGTGTCTGTTGTCTGTTGATACCTGTTCATCTGGGACTCTCAATGGTGGATAAGAAGAGAGTCCATGCTACTTTCGTTTTACAATTCATATTATGACGTCTACAACGAAGTTGTGGTTCATACAGGAATAAGGTTGACTGACTATCCTTCTCTCTGAAGATGAAATCTTTTCCAGACAATTACAGTTTTCACTTTAATTTCATAAAGTTTTTTTTATGTAGTCACCACAACCAGAAGTTGAGCACCTGCGCCCACTTTGGTTCCTGCAATTTTTTATGGCAGTTGCGCCGAGTTGCGCCAATTACCCTTTTTTTTGGCAAATTTGTCATCGGGATTTCGTGAACTCCACAGATACCACCACAATCTGAAGTTGCTATTTTATGGGAGTTATGTCCCTTTTGCACAACATAATCCAAGTGCTTGAAAACAACTTCCAAATGTAACACCGCACTCGGAAGAGTGATATCTGATTCTAACATGATACAATGTTGGATAAGAGCGCTCAATTATTTCAATTCATGTTAGAAGTTTAAAATTACAATTTTAATAACCTTGGACCTGCTATCTAAGGGATTTCACATTTTTATTTCGACTTGAAAACGATACGGCCAACCTACACGTACACTCGCATGTCTGTTAAAATATATTATTCCATATTGTCTACAGGCGCTGCTGTTAAGTAGGTTTATACTTTAATTTTATTAATTTTGCCAATAGCTGCAAGCTGAAAGAACTGGAGGCGAATACATGCCGCTTTATTTTAAGAAAATAAAACGGCGATTTATTGCCATTGCAAGGTGCGTTCAAGGATGTGAAACGGTGTCGCGACAAACAAAAATATGGTCTTAATCAGCCATCATAGCAAGCGCATGGACCGACCTTACCCATTGTTTAACTCATTTACCCCGGAAGACACATGCTAACTCTTCCAATTCAAAGATTGAAATTTATGAGTCGAAGCTTATAGGTGGCACATTCAGCAAGAAAAGGGGAATTCTAGACGGATTTATTTTCCGTATGTCTGTGCAAGTGGCTTCTGATGTTGCTATAAGATTGAACATCACTGATGGAATAGCAATGAGCCCGTCCACAATCCGGTTCATCATCTATTCCATTGTAGGTTTTCTAGCACGAGTATGAAACTACTACATTGAGGTCGTACAGCAGTGTTCACGTCCACAAGTGATACGGCACCCAATCAAGGACCCAGTATCGCATTTGGCGCAGCAGATAAGTTTCGCATGAACCTGAAAATTTGTTACAGCTATATTTGAGCCTTAACTGGTGAATTCAGCGTCAATTTACATGTTTTATGGGTTTATATCAAGTTTCGGTAAAAATGCCATCCCGATCATTTAGATGTCACTGAAGGCCCGTATTTCTCTTGAAGTTTTAACTTAATTTCTCATCTGCCAGTTCGGCTTGGATACAACGTTAACATTTTATTTGCTTCTGACATAAAACGATTCGAGTAACTAAACCGCGGGTTTTCAACATGTTAGTAGATTTGGTCCGATTTTCTTTATTTCCGCCTTTTTAGCATTGACCCCAGTTTCGNAACTTCACAACAAGGTTAATTACCATGAAACCTCGGACAAGTTCGATAACCGCCATTATCCGACCGTAATTATTGGAGTTATTCCCCTTGGTTTCATTAATGCGATGCATGCGTTCCATGATGTTGTATTGCACTCATTGATCTACCAGTTATGTTGAATGATTTCTCTTTTAATATCAATTACTCACAAATACTTCATATATTTCAATCATACAAACAACTGCTCATTCAATGTGTGGCGGGCGTATTATATACCGCCCGCGGTAACCTTGTTACCATATTATTGGTATGTATTTGTAACTAAGTGGGAAGAGCGATTTCCTACAAACATTATCATTTTCAAATTTCTTTTGTACATGTAACAAGTTAGATACATTGTTTTGGGCTGGTTCGGAAACTTATTTCATCATTTACAAAATCAGTTTTTAGCATTTCATTTTGCGCCAACACAGTTTCGCGTTTGTAGATAATGACGTTGACAATGGTTGACGTAATGATCTAGAAACGAAACGACGGTCTTTTGATTGGTATTGCTAGCGTAAAAGGGTTCGACTACTAGCTAGAACACCTCTTGGTGATGGCCTTGGGTTCGGCTCCCTACTGAATTACGTATGGCGATGTCCCTGGGTTCGACTCCCTACTTAAGTACTTCGTGGCGATGGTCCTGGGTTCGACTCCCTACTGAAGTACTTCATGTCGATGGTCCTGGGTTCGACTACCTTGCGGCTGAAATACCTTCATGGCGATGGCCCTGAGTTCGACTCCCTACTGAAGTACTTAATGACGATGGTCCTTGGTTCGACTCCCTGCTGAAGTACTTCGTGGCGATGGCCCTGGGTTCGACTCCCTACTGAAGTACTTCATGGCGATGACCCTGGGTTCGACTCCCTTGTGGCTGAAATACATTCATGGCGATGGACCTGGTTCGGCTCCCTGCTGGCTCCCTGCATAGATGTCCGTTTCACAAGCTCAATATATCATACAGGTTTACGCCCTTACATCAGTCTAATGAGAAACGATCACACAGTTAAAATCAATGAAAAGCAGGAAAGTCTGATTGTCTGTCGTATACATTTTTTCTATTTTCTGACAGCTAGGGTTCGATCCAAAAATGAAATTGTATCAAAGAGTACAGCCTAGCGATGAGAATAGGTACTAAGGCAGGTAACCCAGTCTAGACAGTTGGTGTATTGTTACGTAATACCATGTGTGACGTCACGTCGAGAAATCGTTGCTAAGCTGCTTGGCAATCAACAAGGTGGGCACGATCTGCCTCTCCCTATTTTAGGGGACTGTGTTTTGTTTATAATGGCTTGTGGTTAATTAGTCGCTGTTCGCCATTTTTAACATGGCGCCGTGTATGGGCTCGCATTTTGTATTGAGAAATTAGGATTACCACTGACAATGGGACTTAAGTCATTCCTAATGTTTCTGGTAATGCTGAGTGCAATGCGCCTGGGTCCCACTGCATACAAGGACCTTACATGGTAAGTTCACATTTTTCTTTAATATTTATTGAAATTGCACTTTTTTGAAGTTGGATTCCTATATACTTACTGTACAACGTGCGGACGGTCACCCATCCAGCTACTGACAACTAGTGAGCGGGTTCCCTGGTATTCCGCATCGCTGGAAAAGCTAGCTTGTCAGTAAGTTTTGCCCTCAAATTCCTAGGCTGTTACACTAATCTCCTCCGAGGTTTTGCCTGGGGAATCAATGCACCTTTCCTGCGAGCGGTCACCCATCCAGCTGCTACATGTACAATATTATATGTACAGGTACTGACCACGCCCGACGTCGTTACTTGCTGAACGCGTACGGGTCCCGGGTTATACCGCATTGCTGACAAAGCTAGAATGCAAGTAAGGCGGTATTTCCATTATATTCCTTAGCTGTTTTAATGTCAACGGAAAAGTAGAGCCATCGAAAGGTTAAATATTGTCTGATTTTTAATGAAAAGACTAGATTCTAGCAGAGTAAAGATTTTGTTGATAAACTGTCAACGGCTGATGAACAAACTTACAACACAGCGTGTCGAGTGGTGCAGGTTAACGTTGATGGAGATTATGGGCACCAACATCGTCTCATACGAGTGTCTTGTAGTTTCGTTGTCACTTATCCCGGTTTTCACTTTGAGGACGCAACATTATATAATTACTTTGATTTGGCCATGATTGTGTGACCGACGAAGCTGAAGACGCTTTCGTTTCTTCCATTTTGAGATCAAATTTTACATTTTGTATTTTCTCTTTATCAAAATTATCTAGTGTGGAGCCCGTGCACGGATACGCCCAGAGGGTCGTCCATTTTTTCACCGCGTCAGAAATAGAGAAAGTGTGTCCAACTCATTTAGACGTGGCATGTGTAAGTATGCAGACATCTACAATTTTTTCCTTTTCTTAAAAAAAATGTACACTGGCGTATAACAACTGTGAATCTGAAGTAACATTGAAGGTTATGTATCACAACCAGTAAGTGTTTATGTGTGACGTTACTATGTCAAGTAGCCTATACGGTTCCTACTCTGTCACTTTCATCAGACAAATACCGTGTTAAGCGTTATATTTACACAAACAAAAGAACACTTACTGGTTGTGACGCATAATCCTTCTAAAATTCACACTTTCGAACGTGAAGAAAATGTTTAGAAATAAAACATGTACCTTGATATCCATTTTGTGTTGTAGCAAATTGGGAACGATGCACTATGCACCCTTTTCAGTAAGCTTCTGACCCTGCTGGTGGTCCATATGTCATGGATTGGAAACACTCTTACAAAGAAGTGGTCAAGCATGGTTTCAAAGGCGCAAGAATGGAAAAATCGTAAGTTCCTTGGACTATTTGAGTATTTCGCCAAAATAATTCATATACTACAAGATTTAACATTGTGCCTATGTGAATGACGTCAGCAGTCACATGTTTTTGGAGAAAAAGATGATTTCTCAATAAAATTGACAAACTTAATTGTATCGATATTACTAATAGAAGTATGGAGTACCACATTTCGACGAAAAACGAAATCAGGCCCCGTATTAATTCATGTAACCGTTCTCATGCTCAAGCATGGCTTTTGTGCTCAAGCCGACTTTCTTGTGCTTTTAGTCATTCCAACATTCTTAAAGAAATATTAACAAAATGTGATTTTTTATGAATTGATCACGGGAATTAAAAAGCAGTGAGCACAGAATCTGAGTTTAAGGTGGCAGTACTCAAACCGGATCGGTACACAAATCGGATAACCTTTTGCAAAAATACTTATATTAAAATAAATAAATGTGTCAACAAATCAGTTATAACAATGAGGTAGTCTTAGAAAAGTTAGCCATGAACCATTTTTTGTCTACAGATAATTAGTTTTTAAGTTCAAATAGTGCAAGAAAACATAATTCAAACTCAAATGTCAATGTTTTGATTACGTTTTTATAAAATATCGCGTGCGACGACTATGCACTCGGTTTTGGACTAAATGAATAAATTAACACTATCGAAAAACTGTTTGTCATATAAATTATAAAGGTCACCATAAAATGTTAATATGCTGACATTTATTTTATTCATTTAAAGCATACAATACTGCAAAATTTAAGCCTTGATCCGTTTTGGGTCCCGACATTCGCAAAAACCGGAGACGCTGATTGGCGACTTCAGAGCGTTCTATAAATATCTCAAGTGAGCCCGGGTGCTAATTTCGTTTGTAAGAACACCCATCGATATTTTTNGCCGAGTGTTTGGCAACTTAAGAATCTTTTCCCGAGGGTGGAGATTCCCCTATCTTACCCACAAGGGGGTGAATGATTCTATTAATCTCAACCCGAGGGGAAGATTCTTAAGTTGCCAAACACGAGGCTTTGCCGAGTGTTTGGCAACTTAAGAATCTTTTCCCGAGGGTGGAGATTCCCCTATCTTACCCACAAGGGGGTGAATGATTCTATTAATCTCAACCCGAGGGGAAGATTCTTAAGTTGCCAAACACGAGGCTTTGCCGAGTGTTTGGCAACTTAAGAATCTTTTCCCGAGGGTGGAGATTCCCCTATCTCACCTACAAGGGGATGAATGATTCTTTTTCTCTTAGTCTGTTCTCCCATTGTGTATCATATACACAATGTAACGATAACGTTACATGCTAAATTCAGGGTTGACGTGACGTTGGCGGATTGTTGACGTGACGTCATTGTATTGTTGAAGTGAGGTCATGCCATTGTTATGAATAGGGGAACCCCCCGTCACAACCCTAGGGTGAGACAAGGAAATTTCACACCGGTAAAAGTGCGGATACACCTGTCTAGGGTAAGAGAAAAAGAAATAAAGCGAAAGACTTTTGGCAGGTCATTATTTGTTGATATTTCATCTTCCCTATAGCAAATCATTTTTCGAAAACGTTTTGCATACAGGTCGTCCCCTTTGTGGTTACTGTGGAACCGCTCCGTGCCAGGTCCTGAGAAGATCGAAATGGCATCCGTCAGGTCCTCGTGAAAGGGACGAAGCAAATTTCTCCGAGCGCTCTAACGCCATGATGCTCTTCAACTGCGGTTTGGAAGTGTCCACAATTCTGACCAAGGAGCTGCCTCAGGACGAACTTTACTGGACGAGAAGGTCCTGTCAGAAGTTTGAGGAAGAGCAGTTGAGTCTGTTTCCTCTGTGCATTCAGCGTCAGATCGACCTCTGGTATCCAGTCCCACGCTAGGTATGTAACCGATCACATGGTCTATCCGGGGTCGCTATTTCATTTACATCATTGACCCCATACAGTAGTGATTTAACAGCGCCACATTTTCCAAAATGGTTACCCTTGCTAGGTAAGTGTCAAGTGCTTGGCCGAGGATTAATGCAGAAAAAATATATAAAGTATAATGTTATAACCTTTTAACCATATACAACCAGTTGTTTATAGTTTCTTGCAACTTCAAAAGTGTAAGCATTAACACAATAATCGAGTATAAATGTGGTATTTTTGTTGAACCGGAAATTAAACGGATATGGCGCATGCCTGGCGGATACAGGATTGTTTTGAATAGCATATGTACAGCTAACAGTGTCGCCCATGCAAAACAACCCATAACACGGACAGCGATTTTAGAGGTCACCATATCGCCATTTACATATCCTGCTTCATATCAACCTATAGCTAATACCACCGATAAAGCTAACATCCTTCACAAACAATTTCAGTCCGTCTTTACCTCAATCCCAGATGAAGGAGAAAGCCACCCCTTCCAATAGTTAAACCCACTATCACTACACCTTAATCAGATATTCACAAAATCACTAACTACTTTGTAGTTAATTACAGACCAATCAAAGATGCAAGTTAATGGAGCATGTTGTCACTAAACATCTCATAAACCATCTGGTAAAAAACCCATCTTGTAAGACCTCGTCACTATTTCCTTTCATCCAGGAATGTCATACAACAAATAACAATAACACTCAAATAACAGACTCAAACAGACCTCATAATCATGGACTGTGCAAAAGCTTTTGACAACGTCCTATAGCAACGTCTTTTATATACGACATTAAAGGCAAAACTCTCAACTGGATATTTGCATTTCTCCCAAACCGTATACAGGCAGTATAGTCCCGGTCACCCCAGTTGTACTGCAAGGTACAGTGCTCGGTTCGGTCTTGTTTTTGGTCTACCTCAATGGTCTCCCCAACTATCTATCCTATTCCGTCTCTGCGTATTGCAGAGTTGTCTGCTCTTGTGAGCAGGTATTGATTGTGACGTCATTTGTTTGTGAGAGTAAAATAATCTATTTTTGAGAAAACGACGTAATTTTCTCATTCAAACCAATGACGTAACAATCAATACTTGCTCACGACAGAAGATTACTCGGCAATACCATGAATACGCAAAGACGGAATAGCAAAAAAGAACCAAAAGTGACAAATTATAAACGGACCTTGATGGGCTGCACGATGGGAGAAGGACTGGTTGATGGCCTCCCACCCAGACAAGTGTACTGTTGTCTCTGTCACTACCAAAAAAGAACCCTTTACAACACAACTCCCCCCGCCATAACCACACACTTGCATCTGTTACTTCCGCAAAGTATCTTGAACTTACCATACAGTCGAATCTTAAAGGGAACAAACACATAGACAATATCACAGCTAATGGTAACAAAAGGCTTTATTGTAAAATAACTGTTCTTCCAGCCACATTCCTTTTTTGTAATCGTCTATATAGGCCACGCATGCCGGCAAAGTTTCATCAACATGTTGATGGATGGATTGCTGTAAACCAAAGTAGAAGAAAAAGAATACCTCTATATCAGCCCGAGGGGCCTTAGGCCCGATGGCTGTTGATATGGGTTAGGATACAGAAAGTGTCATATATCACAACCTTTTCATCCTATATTTCACACTATAAATACTTAACTGCAATATAAATACTACCTGGAATAATATAAAACAAATAGAGTGAAATTAGTCATCGTTTTTTCTTAAATGTGTTGAACCGGTAGCAAAACAGATATGACGCGTGTCGGGCGGACATGGTGCTAGCTGGCGGATACGGGTCCGGAATATGGCCTATGTACAGCTAGTAGTATTGCACATGCAAAAACAACCCATATCACAGAAAAATGATGATACATCTTCTGCCTTGTGTACGGAGACTGAATATGAAGTGAAATGGCTAAGGGGATAACGAAGTCACTAAATCATTATTTAGGGTGTAAGGCAGAGGTGTGGGTTTGAGCTATCCGAGCCCAACAACATTATCACTATTACTCTATAAGTTGTTGGGCAGTGATACTACACTTTTGATGATTTATGTGGACAGTCTAGATAACGCAAACCTAACCAGTGTTATTTTACATTGCAGGTTCCTTCTGCTGTTCACTGAGAAGAATGCCGATGATGATGGAAGTTACAGTTTCGATGTTATCGATAATGCGATATGTCATATCATTTTGATATTTAACTGTGCCACAGTTTAGTTTTAGATTGTCTTTTTTCCTATAAAATCAGAAAAACTACATTTCAGTCGATTTTTTTATTCTTGTTAATATCGGTCTTACAAAACGAGATATTTGCTAGAAGATCATTTCAGTCGTTTGTGCGGCGTTTTCAGTCCTTCCGGAGTCACAGGGTGATGATACTTAGCAAGAAAAAGGCTAAGGTAAATCGTTATCAAATGTCATCAAATGAATGACCTTGATCAACTTTTAAAGTCACTTGTGTCAATCGTGTCAAATCATTTATACCACTTCTTGTGAATAACCAAGATGCATAGCCAGTTAGTGAGATGTTGGGATGAATGACTACAAACTATAGTCAAATACATGGTCTTGGCCTCCTTTCATAGTTGCACGGGTAGAAAAAACCTTAAAACTACTACTTCTGAATAACCAAAATCATAAAAGCTGCATGCTTGGCCATTGATGTTAGGTCAGTAAGATACTGTACCGAAGTTCTCCATATTTTCTGCAAATGAATTGCCTGGATCAGACAACAGCATAACTAAATGTCGGCACCTCTTGGCTTGGTTCTGAGTTATATATATTTCATTTTCGGCTTGGTTAGAAAAGAATGACAACAGGAGACATCTTAACTTTGGCCGTTGAAGTTTGTTATCGCCATTTCTTGGAAGGAAAGTACGAATCTTTCAATTGCATAAGGCGATTATTTCTGTTCCCTAGTTTTGCGAATTTCAATTTGACCTTCAAGCTTTGGTGCAATCACCTGCGCGTGTGTATTACGTTCAATCCCCTGCGCGTGTGTATTACGTTCCTCTTTCAAAATATGACTTCCATAAAATAAGTCAAACGGCAACCTCGTTTTGAAAGGACAAGATGAAAACACAGCAGTTTAATCGAAAGTAGCCACAAAATACGTTTGCTGTTTGCATGGCTAGTCAAAGAACAAACTACTTAATGAAGATCTGATGATGGTGGCCGCCAATATCCCACTGAGATATCAGCAATGAATATTTGGGAAATTTGTTTATTAAATGGAGATAGGTAAGACCTGGTTGGTGTACATGTAAATATTGAATTGCCTGCCGTAGTTTTTCTACTCTCCGCCAGGTGTTTGATACAAGTTAATACATACTTCATTTAATCTAATTCATGATTACCTCATATCAGTAAATTTGACATAGATGAGTACGTAAATGCCACTTAGGCGAGTAAGGATAAATAGTCAGATGATCCGTGTTTAATAAAAAGTGTTTGATATGATTTATATACATATATATATATATATCCATATGTAGTCATGACATAGACACTAACGAGTATCAACTAATTGGTTAACAGTAATGGCTGCTCTATAGACACATCGGCAAATTGGGAAGCCATTATAACGTTATTACTGACTCATTGGAGAGTAGGGAATTTTGTCTGTTACCATCACACATGTCAGTGAAACGCCGATATTGCTCGACAGATCATGAGACTGACTACGGTCACTTGCTATAGGATAATAAAAAATCAAGAAAGAAAGAAAGAGAAAGAAGAAAAGAGAATCTCTTGTGCTGCCGTCTGGGTTCATGTATTTCCTAAACCGTTGCTCAGTTTCTTTGTGGCTGAAGTACATGAAATAAAAGATATGGGGTGGAAACGGAGGTTGCGTGAGAAAACTTATCAAAAAGTATTTGTTGCAATAGGTTTTATAATAAATGTACGCCATATGGGACACATTCCCCAGGGTTCATGTTTCAACGGGTTTATGAAAATATGGTAAATTAGGTTCCATTTCCAACGGCTGCCTTGCACTTACACTGACGGTTTCGGAACATGTTATTTATAGACTTTTATTCATTCGCCCTTTGGTACCGGCGATGAATTCTAAATAGTTGATATGGCCATACGGCACGGTAACATGTTGACTATTTTCGGATTTCTTCATGGACTAACTAGATTTTCGGTGCGTCTTACTTGGCTCGTCTGTTGTTTTTCGATTGCTTCGTAGACAAACTCAATTTTGGGTGCTCCTCTTACTTCGTACAACTCGTGATCATTTTTCATCGTTGAGAACTGACCCTGATTCCACTTTCAAAGGGGGTCCATTTCATCATTTCACAGGAAACAGAACTGGAGCTAGTAGAAGTTATGAAATGCTATCGGACATCATGACAGGCTTAATGAATCACTAATTTATTTGTTTTGAACGTCCTTATACTGAAAAGAAACCCGGAATCGCAAAAAATATACATGTATGTGTGTTGTATTACCAATCTTTGACGACTTCCCTTGCATTGGGGTTCCTCTAGACGGTATTAAAAAGACTAATGTATTAACTAAAACCGTAAAAGACAATCGTTCCAAATAGAAGCGAAAAAAGAATACTTCAGCAGAACACACAGATCAGTCCCGGATAACCCACAAAGAGAGGGTTCTTCTTGAATCGATGTTATATTTGATAGGGTTATTTAACGTGTACCAATATGGTTCCCGTTGATAGCCGAGTGATCTCCTATCTTCTGATTGCCTTATATTGATATGAGGTACATTATGATTCGCCGAAGATGAATAGAAAATTTATAATTGTGTATCTATTTCATTTCGGTATATAACAAATCGTTATTCTAATATAGAAACAAACTTGACGAGATGGAAGAATTTCATTCAACTTTATTTTAAACCAGAAATATATCTTCATTTTGGACAATTTTCATGTCGAATGTGTTGCGTTTAACTCCATATGATTACAGTATACACCGAGAAAATGTACGATGGATTTCAAATATAAGAGATAGCATTATTCACATACAAAATATACAAGTAGGTGACAGTGTTTAATCGCAAACTCCAGGACCTACTCAACCGGTATTGCTTGATATGGAAATATGCCTACACAAATACTCGTGACGTAGGCGTCAAAATCTTAGGTAGATGTTAACAAAACAATGCTGGTCTATCTGTAATGTTAAAAGTTATACTCGCTTTTTAATGAACAAATATTCAATGATGCCTAGACGCCTCTTTGGTTAAAATTGTATTTTCCACAATGTTATATGACCACTATTCGTAGTAAGAAATTAACCAAATTCTACGTTTTACCTCTGTTTCCCCAATATGTTGTATTTTAACACTTTCAACTACTTCAGTGAAGACAGCTGAAAACATCAGTTTCTATGCAGATTAAAGTAAAAATGCATCTTAAATTTGAAATGACCGTCCGCACTAATACACTATTAGTATTCTATATATTTCACTCAATCAGAAGACGATGGTATGTAATATGTATGGTATGTATTATGCATGTCCTTTAAAATATGATGGAAAGAAGGTCATTAGCCCCTTGATAGAAATATAGATCTTTGATAATATTTGCTACAGCCTTTGAATATTTGACGCGTCATCAAATATTTTCACCCATTTTAGAGAAACATAACGGAAAGTCAATACAATAATATTTTTTGGCTTCACCACAACGTTGAAGATATTTTCGTTTCCTTTTTGTCAGCGTTTTGTTTTTTCTCTTGTGGAAATAGCAGTCGCCAGAATCTCTTTCCGTCTAAGCATGCGCACACATTCTCTACTGGTTTCTGCCGTTCGTCAGGGCGTCGCTTCCTTCATCGAACTTGTAGCCCTGTCTGTTCGCAGACCTGAAATTAAAGGCAAAAATTGAAATCTACTAGAAAAGATTGACAGAATCTTTATATGAGGGAATTATAAATTTACCCTTAACCAGGGATATTTACGAACAATAGCTTGTAGATTTCATTTTTACTTCACTTTTGATTATCACTGTGTTATTCTGAAACGGAACCATGGACACCGTGATGTACTACAAAATGATACGCTACATAGTCAGGACACGAACTTGCCATGGCCTGCTTGTAACACAAAAGGATGTGTGTGGGAGTGATTCACCAGGTAAACAACAACATAGACATAAATACATCAATGCTCTGCCACGCCCACCGGCGTACCGCTTTATGCAAACATACCAAACCACAAGCATTATTTATTAGTTTAATACATAATTAACTGATGATGGAGACCGTTAAACAATGCTACACTGCTCCCTGGTGGAGCATTAAAGTTATCGCTTATTCAGCACACATGCTCTTGGCTCTGCCAAGCCTCGGTAGCGTCACAAGACAATTATCGAAATGACTATTTATTCATAAATGTATAGAATTTTATCCATACTCGGATGATCAAACAGGCATGCTGTTTTAATTACGTTTTAAGGAGTGCTTAAACTTATGGTTCATTGAGAAATTATGTTAATCGGTTAAACAGTGGATCAGAAATTCATCTATATGGGGCCTCGTCATAACTTGTTGAATCTCTAAAGCTTAACATTGTCAAGAGAGTCATTAGCAGATACAATATTGTTTAATTAATATGGATTCTGTTTGTTTTCTTAAGGTACGGTATATTGAACTTCTTGTTATTTATCTGTATCGAGATTCGATTCACAGTTTATCCTGATATATAACACATTGATTGATGCTCTATATCAATATAACAATACTTTTGGTGAAATGGAAATATTTCGCCCTGTTTCAATATTGAGTCAGAACCGGCGCGCGAGCCCACGGCACACTTATCTAATGAAATAAACACACAGGATGAACTTCTCTCTTCATTATCTCATTAATTAATAATGGTATGAGCATCTCTCAGCTCGTATGACATTAAAACATCAAACGGAAGTGTCTGTCGACCGACAATAGCTTGTTTTATGCTACGAATGCCATGCTCAATCTATCACAACCAATGTTAATAGCTATATATTCCAAAATGAATCGATATTTGGTAACTCTGCTAAACACACTGCCACGACTTTGAAACCTCCCGCTCATTTCTTTAGTACGAAACAATTTTCAGTGAGACAGTATATTATTAAATATATCAATAATCGTTTCAGCGGAGGAAATCTTTAACACGAAGGCAGTTTGACATATTACGAATTAATGTCCGTATAAAAAGACTGGTAATCCAACGAAACAACCTCTCTGCTTTGTGTTACCGATATCCTTCAGTGAAACTCGAGACATTGTCAGTGGCGCTAATTTGTTTTGTCAAATTTTCACCCAGACAAGTATACAGACAGAGCTTTCGGAAATTGTATCTTGTACGTGACGTTTGATTACTTCCAGGTTTAAATGCAATCGGAACACCTCGCCATATTCTCCGACGGGTGAAAGAGAGGAAGTGGTGTTCTGATTGGTTACGATTACATTCCGCCATTGAAATGACCTTACGATTACACTTGACAACTTCAAACGATACCGGCCCGTGATCTCAGAATACCGCAATGTGAAGGGGGCAAATAACCAGCATCAGAGCAGAGATATGGTAAACCTGCATTAGGATTCACCCTTCTAGCAGTTTAACACTCTTAGCCGCTGAAATATAATCTCGTTTCCGTTGGGAATCGGCTTTGTGATAACTGGTGCCCAAGGGTCTCACAGGTCCGTCATCACCAGACGTTTTACATTTAGGACTAATGCCGTCTAGCAATATCAACTTAGAGGCTTTATGAATAATTGGTTTTTTTTTTTAGTTATTTCAACATTGGAAGTTAATACATTTCAATCGCTATGAGCATTTTTTCTCATTTTGTCCGGTTTATGATAAGTGACCTTCAACGCCAGGAGTTCTGGAGTTTTATTGTAGTGCTTTTATAAGACTACATAATACCCCGTAATTTGATATAGCATTATGCAGACTTCTCGTACTCCAATGCTTTTAGCAACAGAGGACGTTTCTTATTGTAATAAACAGTTAAATTGGCAAGTAAATAAAAACATAGCATAACTTTCTTGTATGTCAAACATAAAGAGGACGAGTATAATCTTCACTGAACAGTACAAATTGATTCCACCTAAAAACTCCAAAAATATGACAAAAACGAGGATAATAAACGTAACCGGATGTTCGTCTCCTTCGTGATTGATAGTATTTAGTCTCCTTAGACTTCGTAATATCCAACACCCTTATGTATGCCTTCAGTCGACACAAATAAAGCAACTTGTTGGTCAATGTTTTATTTTGTGGTTTCCTAAGAACAGAGAGTTCTAAATCCGGTAAGACGTCACTTGACAGAGACATTACAGAAGCCCTTCCTTAAATGTCCGAAGTAATGAATTATTCCTTACCATGCGAAAACTAATATTTCATTTAATATGAATAAACGCGAAATTTGGCATTCATTAAGCGTTGCTATTTGGGTTGCATGTTGTAGATAGTATTTGACAGATATCTGACACTATTCGTTCAAACCCCTTTTGGCCCTACTAATTAATTGGGGTTGTTATGACAATTGTCTCTGACTGTCACAATGCTGCAGTCTCATCCTAAATGGTAACGTAAGGAGTAATACTCTCATTACTCTAGATCTAATTTGAGGGAGGGAGGTCAGCCATTCATTAGACCAGCAGGCAGCCAGGCGAGCTATCATATATCAGCCGATGGACAGGTCACACTTATCAGGATCCGAGCCGAACATTTTCTGAGATGTGTCGCTAGGTTTGTATAAAACAGTTGCAATAGGATTAACACTCAGGTTTAAATGTGTTCTTTGATAAATTGGCGAGAAAAAACGTCAAGAAGCAATAATAAAATAAGAAAGAAAAAAATGAACTTCAATAGTGTTAGGAAAGAAAAAGACACGGATTGAAGAGAAATATACACGCCATTGCTATTTCAACCATTGTGCGTTGAAAATTCATCAGCGGCTTTTTCTGCATCAAGCTGATACTCTTAGGAGTCTCAGAGCTACGTATATACATACATCTGGTGCAATCTCGAAAACAGAGAAATGATATGGACTAAGTAAATTATACATTGACCTGTGCTTATTTTCTTGTTACAAAGCATGTTATTCATACGAGACATATCTGAAAGAACCTCAGTCTGAGCCCTGACAAATCAAACATTGATATTCATAATAAAACGAAATGTGGGAAATCAAATATCTATGTTTTTACCAGAATGCACACTGGTTTGTTTTATTATTCATCTAATAAGATGAAAAAATGCAACGCCTCAATTAACGGTTGATTAAAAGCGTGTGTTCTGTGAGGGCGGTGAGTGCGACATATCTAAAATAAGCATTCTGTCTCATCGCGCCCACCCGACTTTACCGTATTTAGAAATGCCTTAATGATTTCATAAAATATGTACGATGTGACACGTTTCCATTATGCTCAGGTCACTGCCTCAATAGAGGTGCATTAGACAATGGGACTCGTGTAGTAGTGTGAATTAGGGGCATTGGACAGTGATATGGGTGGTAGTAACGGACCATTTTCGTGGAATTCGTCGCATATTGTTTAACTTTTACGTGTACTTAAATGTAAAACGAAACGTTTATGTATATACTCCCTATTTTTAATATTTCTTTCTGTTTGATGTGTCTAATGTCTCCGAATTTTGTTTGATATTATTTGGATTTGACCTGAATGTATTTGAACTTGAAGACGCTTACTCTTACGAAACATCTGGTCTTAATCTCCGTGTTACTTTCCATGTTAATGCTTGCTTTGTTCGTATTTTTATAGTTTGATCGAATGTGAGTTCTATTTTCGATTTGCTCATGCTTCGATATACTCTTGTTTTATTTTTATTTTTTTTCAAAGTCGGTTGGTGGGTTGTACATTGTTTAACGTCCAATCAACAGCTAAGATCATAAGGACGTGTCTACATGTGTGTTGTGCATGCCTGTATTTGTGTATGTGTGCCGGATGCAGGATATGTTGGTGCATTTGCCTCCTTGTGGTAGCGCGTATCTGATGCCGACTTTATAGCTCTATCTCACTGAAATACCATGCCGAAGGCACCAAGCACAGCATCCCGCCCGGTCACATTATACTGACAACGGTTGAACCAGCTGTTACCATTCCCCTAAATGCTGAACGTTTAGTAGGGAATAACAACTACCATGTTTAGGACTTTGGTATGTCCCGGCCTGGGGACAGAATCTATTGCCTTCCTCACCTGGGCGAACGTTCTACATTAAAGCCAAATATGTGGTTTACTTGAAAGTCGATTGAAAAACATCAACATGAACTTTTAAGACAGCAAACCAAAACTGAAGATAAGTTGAGCCTCAATTCAAACATCCAAGGCGAACCCAAGACAATCCGGAAGAGTAAGGTTTTCCTTTATCACATGTAGCATCCGTTAAAGTTTCCAGACAATCCGGGTACTTATATAGGTCAGCAATGGCCTAATATATAGTCCGATACTTTAACACCTTATAGATACCGAAATATCTAAGGTGGAAATAATGTCATGTTGATGACCATCTTTCGTTAATGTTAATGTCTTCGTGGTAAAATAAAGTCTCTAAGATGTAAAATTCCAGACCAGACAAGTATCTTATCAAAACCCCCGAATCAGCTATATAAGTGGTCCACAGTGAGTCGTCACATTACCGTTCCGTTAGACTTTAGGTTTAGTTTGTTTGTGTCTTACGTCCTATTAACAGCTATGTTCATTTAAGGACGTGCCAGGTTTTGGTAGTAGAGAAAGCCGGAGTTCCCGGAGAAAAACCACCGACCTACGGCCAGTACCTGGCGACTGCCCCACGTAAGCCTCGATCCCGCGACCCAGCGGTGGAGGGCTAGTGGTACATAGCAGAATGTGA